GATAAAGATTTAGGGACATTAATCTGAATACAGAGTTGTGGGGGATAAAGGGACAAGAAGCAGAGAGACCAGCTAGGAAACTACTTCAGCAATCCAGACAGGGGTTGGTGATAACACTGGATTTAAGGTGATACGATAAAGGAAGGGCAAATAATTTCAAAGAAATAACTGAATAATTTGGCAAGAGATTATATAAATACGACTCCAGATGATATCTCTAGTCCTTAAAACTGGGAAAAATTACCTAAAAAAAATAATCTCTGTTTTCCAGTTGTTTTTAAGAGAGAGGGGGCACAAGTAGCAAGGGAGCAGCGAGAGAGGGAGACAGAAAGAATCCCATGAAGGGCAGGGAGGGAGAGAGAGAAGCTGGGCTTACCAGAAGCTGGGCTGGAACTCATGAACCATGAGATCATGACCTGATTCTTAACCAACTGAGCCACTCAGGCACCCATTTTCCAGAGCTACAAAGAAAGTTTGGAAATAAAGAAACAGAGATATACTTAAATCAAACAAAAAGAAAAAAAAGAGGAAAGAAAGAAAAGTAAAAGAAAGATGAAGTAGTAATATTTATAACAGGATTCTAGGCCAAAAGTGATGAAATAAGATTAAAAGGGATATTGAGTAATGGACAAAATACTCTCCGAAGATATAATAGCCATAAACCTTTTTACATAAGCAATATAATAATAAAATACATAAGGCAAAACTTCCTAGAGATTGGAGAGCTTGATAAAACCAAAACTGTACCTGAAGATTCAACATAACTGTTGACATACATACATACATAACTTGACAGCTCAAGTAGATATAGACAAAAAAAAGAGGAAGTGAATAATAAAACCAAGTCTATATATATGTATTGGTATACAGGGCAGGTCACTCAATCCTTCTGTACCTCATATTTCTTTCTTATAAAATGTCAGTAAGTAATACCTACCTCATAGTTGTGGTGAGGATTAAATGAGATAGATAGTTCCTGTAAAGAGTACTTGCTACATATGAGACCCTCATTAAAGCTCTTGTTATCTAACTCGATTATTCATATTCTCTCAGATTCAAGGAACATGATAAATTAATCATGCTTTCGACCACTAAAAAAATTTCCCACGATGTTTTTTCCCATAATCCAATAAACTAGAAATATACAATAAGAAGTTAATCATATATAAATTAAAAAGAATTTTTTAATAAACACTTACATAAAAACCAAAGTTACAATTACCTAAAATTAACAAAGTGGGGAATATCTGATGACAAAAAAGAGATACAGCAAAAGGAGAATTCAGAAGAAACTGTGGAGTATTAAGTGATTTTATAATTAAAAGGCTTAAATTTAAGTATTCAATTTAAGAAACCAAAAGCAAAATAAACCAAAAGAAAAGGAAGGTATAAAGATAAAAGCCATGTTTGATTATTTATTTACACCAAAGAATAAATAAGGCCAAATATCTGGTTTCTTGAAAATTCCAACAGAAATAGATTCAGGAGTAAAAACACCCTTAAACTTATATTTTAAAAAGGACAACTAAATCTCAATAAGTATTTCTCCGTATAATCTCTCTCCTTTTTTAAAAAAAAATTATTTTTTAATGTTTTATTTATTTCAAGGAGAGAGAGAGAGAGAGAGACAGCGTGAACAGGGGAGGGTCAGAGAGAGGGAGTCAAAGACTGAAACAGGCTCCAGGCTCTGGGCTGGCAGTCAGCACAGAGCCCGACACGGGGCTCGAACCCACAAACTGCGAGATCATGACCTAAGCGAAAGTCGGACGCTTAACCGACTAAGCCACCCAGGCGCCCCCGTATAATTTCTCTCCTAATAGAGATCTCTCAACCTAATAGTTGTGGGCAATACAGAAGAAATTGGAGGGGTGGAGAACAAACCAACCTCAATACTAGAGAGAATATAAAATTATTTTTAACTCAGTATTTTTCACATTTGTATAAATCGAAAATCAAAAGTGAAAACAGACATTTTCCAAAATAGCAATATTAACACTTCTATAAATTCTTTATTTACCTTTATTTTACTAAGAAGATACTACCAACTGTCAACTGTGCATTGTTAACTGAACTGTTTTTCTAAGTATTGATGCCCTTCTCTTGTAACCAAGGACGCCCCTAGGGCCAAACAAATTTCCTGTAGCACCTACACTGGCATTTGGAGGATTTTTTTTTTTTTAAATAAACTGGCCCACAGTTTACTCTAGGGTTAAAAACAATTAATTATTTAAAATTAATTTTAAATCCATTTAACATTTAAAATCTATTTTAAAGATTTAAACCAATTTTACATTCCTGTAAGGACTTAAAATCCTTTTAAATTTAAAACCCAAACTCTAAGAAAAGTTTGTTAATGCTCCTTGGGCAGAGAGGACTAGATAGCTTTCTTTGCATTCTTCCTGGCTGCACTGCCCTTATCCTATCAGGACACACCTTCAGTTCTTACTGGTCTCCACAATTTAAATTTTTATTGTTTTTTATTTATTTTTGAGAGACAGAGACAGCGGGGAGCAGGGGAGGGTCAGAGAGAGAGGGAGACACAGAATCCGAAGACAGGCTCCAGCCTCAGAGCTAGCTGTCAGTAGAGAGCCCGACGCGGGCCTCGAACCCACAAACCGTGAGATCATGACCTGAGCCCAAGTTAGACGCTTAACTGACTGAGCCACCCAGGCGCCCCTCCACAATTTAACTATGAGGAAGCAAAGATGAGCAACTCATGCACCTTTTCCTCTATTAAACCCATGCTGAAAACATGGTTCCTTACTCAGTTCAACACCCCAAATTGGTGTTGGATCACTTCCAAATTATACACATATAAAACCTAAATAACTTTTGTTCAAGAATTTTTAGAAGGAAAAAAAAAGAATTAATTTTTAGTAAAGTATACATATTTGAAGACTCTCAAGTCAACATACAAGCCAAAAAAGTCTTAAAGCAGTATGAGCTCATTCATTAGCTGAACAGCCTGCATTTCTTTCTTTCTTTCTTTTTTTAATGTTTACTTATTTTTGAAGGAGAGAGCACACAAGCAAGGGGAGGAGCAGAGAGAGAGGGAGACACAGAATCCAAAGCAGGCTCCAGGCTCTGAGCTGTCAGCACAGAGCCCAACGCGGGTCTCAAACCCACGAACCGTGAGATCATGACCTGAGCTGAAGTCAGATGCTCCACCAACTGAGCCACCCAGGTGCCTCAGCCTGCATTTCCTAGTGAGTCTCTATACACTTACTGCATTAAAAAATAAAAACAAAAAGCTACGTTGAATATAACAATGAGGAATTTTTTGCCTGTACTCTTCATTCTCTAATCTAAGAAGCTCTCCAACCAGTATTATGAATGAAATTATTCATTCCTTCTATAATAAAGTAAACTATGTTTTAAAAAGAAAAGTATTTCAGGTGCCTGGGTGGCTCAGTTGGTTAAGTGTCCGACTTTGGCTCAGGGCATGATCTCACAGCTCATGAGTTCGAGAGACAGCTCAACGCCTGGAGCCTGCTTCGGATTCTTTGTCTCCCTCTCTCTCTGCTCCTCCCCTGCTTGTGCTCTGTATGTCTCTCTCTCAAAAAATAAATAAACATTAAAAAATGTTTTTTAAATAAAAAGAAAAGAAATATCTAAAAGTGAAGCTTCAGGGATTTTCAGGTATTGCTAAGGTTAAATAACCCCTCAAGATTCCAAAACAAATACCTTCCACTCCCACTTGAGTAAAATATAAATGTAGAGTATTGGGGATGTACTTTATCAAGTGGGTGCAATAAATTCTACAGTGTGTACTTTTTTTGAATAGTCAAAATTATCTTTATCTACTCATACAGTAGGACTTGGGTCTCTGAAAGCTCAAAAGTTAATGTCTTCTTTATGCATTTAGATTTTTGGCACCCTGCTCTGAGTCATAGAGGTCATAAGCTAATACAGCTAATGCAGAGTGGATGGAAGCAGGAGAGATAATGGGAAAAAAATTTTCTTGCCTCCACCCTCATATAGTATAATTCCATTATGTACACATGGTAGGACACCAGTGTGTCCAGCTAATTCTTAGTATTTAAATAAAATAGTGTAATAGAGGATTTAGTAGCTGAAGATCTGCAGTTTTTGCTTCAATTTTAATAACCACTTTTAGGAAAAAAATACAAATACACAAAAAGAATTGTTAAGTTTAAGTACAATAGTTCAAAACCCAGTGGTTTGCAATTTTTAGGAAACGTGAATCTCAAAAGTTGCCATACCCCTTAACTTTATATCCGAAGGGGTACAATTTTAAAAGAGTGCATAATTAACTACATTCATCTTATTATACAGACCAGAATTTGACACTTGGTTCAACACTTATTCATCATCCACTGTGCATTAAAAATATTAATAACTCAGGAGGCCCCTGGGTCGCTCAGTCAGTTGAACGTCAGACTCAATTTCAGCTCAGGTCATGATCCCAGGGTCCTGCCTGTGGGATCCACTCTGAGCGTGGAGCCTACTTAAGATATTCTCTCTCTCTCTCTCTCTCTCTCTCTCTCTCTCTCTCTCTCACTTTCACTCTCTTACTCTCTTTCTCCCTCTTCCCTGCTTGTGCTTCCTCTAAAAAATTTTTTTAAAAAGAAAACTAAAAAATATTAATTCAGGATGCCATTACACAAACATTTATAAGGCATCTGCTCCGCTGAAAAAATGAAGTTGAAAACAAAAATATTTGTAATTTAGTTGGAGCCGCAATATCGACACATAAAAAGGACCAACATTCATGAAACACACAAAAAGCCAGAGATTAATTTAGTGTAAATGGTCTGTTCTCTCCTATTATTGCACATCTCCCACTGAAAGTGTTCAATAAATTCTACTATCTTAGGAGACTAGTTTTAAACTAGGTATAGAGATTTAGCTTTCCCTCTCTAAGGGGAAAAAACTAAAAGTGAAATAGTACGCTCAATTGACAAGGCAAACTGGAAACTGACTTGGAAAGTGAAAACGTAGAGAAGTGATGAACCCAAAAAAGGTGCATAGCCACTTACCCAGAGATTTATTAAATGAGAATGGATCGCAGGTTTCCACAGGTCGTTCCACTGACAGTAAGTAGATAGTCGTGAACCTTGGGTCCCTTTTTTCACTAGTCAACAGTCACCCTCACCTACACGCGGAGTATATATTTGGCACTCAGCAAAACTTTTTTTTCCCTTCTTTATTTCTTTCAATAAATCTTGATTGAATGGAAACCTGCCTCCTTCACACTGGTTCAACCCCGGAGTTAAGGCCCCACAATTACCCCCAAAAGCCTTACGGCATAACCCAAGGAGCGGAGAAAGTAGAGACGAAAGCTTTGGGGACTTCTGTTAAAACTAGGAGCCATCAAGGGCCAACAGGGCCTACACCAACCCGACTTCCCAAATAAAGCTCTGGGGACTGTACTGCGGCTACTCAGCTTCGTCGGTCACAAGGAGGTACCTGATAGGCCGCAGATCCATAGCCTCCCACCCGGGGGCGCTGAGTGATCTGGGGGTATCCCCACTAAAGTTAGTACCTGCGAAGCTGCGACACAGAGAATGGCTCGAGGCTCTCATTACGGAGGCCGGGGCCTGGGGCCAGCCAGTTGCGCCTCCTGGCTGAGGGCTTGGCGCTCCGGAGCTGCAGTGACAGCAGGGGTCGCAGATAGATACCACACGCCTTAGGAGGCTCGTGGCTCGTTGACCTTGGGTATTTCACTCCCAGGCCTGCGCGTGTTGTCGCACTCACGTTGACCGACGTTCTTCAAGAGTGCCCTCACAGCTCAGGCGATCACGCCTGACTTAAGCCCAGCAGCCGGTCGCCTCCCGGCGCCGCCATCGTTAGTGTTTGTTTTCATCCGCTCGGATGAAGGCGGGGGGAGCAAGAGGGCTAAGGGCGAGATGCAGCTGCCTAACCTCATCCGCACTTTCGCTACAGTATGGATGCCATATTTCATCTCTTTCCTCCTAATTCCAAAAAAAAGTTTATTTTACTTTCATATGAATATTTCTCACCAATTTTTCCAAGTGTCTCTGAAGTAAATAAAGGCGTAAAGATGGGGGTCCTTGAAAGAACGAGAACTTTTGGGCCGAGTGTAGAATGTGCGCCGCCTTTCCGCACGTAGTGGCGGCAGCGGCAGTTGAGACGCGGCGTGGGGAGGACGCTGACGCAAGGGGGCGGTGCCTATGGTGAGCGCCGTGGCAGCTAAAGCGAGGCCGCGGGTTCCGGAGGAGGGCAGGACGGGTCTGGGTGGGTGGGGAGTGCTGCTGGTAACCTGGCAGCCGCCGAGAGGTGGGTGATGGGCCTTGGCTGACTTTGAATGAGCAGCGCATTCAGACTTCTTAGTTTCTAAGGTGCCTTTTAAAAGCGTCAGAGACGCCTCCCGGCTCTACCTATTCCAGGCTCTTCTTATGCGCCTTCCTTCCAATCTGGTTTTTCCTACTTCCTGGTCCTCAGCCTCAAGATTTGGACTTGTTAGAGCATGTGACCTGCGTCCACCAGGCTGGGCTGTGGGTAGTTTTTTGCCCCTACCTCTTGTTGGACTGGTTTGAGCACCCCTCACGTCCATCTTGTACAGGTGGAACCAGAGGGCTTGGGTAACGAAACCCGTTGAAACGAATCCCTGCTCTGAATAGTTATGACTACTATCAGCCAGTTCGTGGCCTGTGTAGTTAGGAGCAGACCTCCTTTACCTTATGGATAATTATGCTGTCGCCTGCATTCTCTTAAGATCTTGTTTTTAAGTAATCTTTACAACCTACGTGGAGCGGGAACTTAAAACTAGAAGATCAAGAGTTGCAGGCTGTACAGACTGAGCCGGCTAGGCGCCCCACCTCCATTAAGCATTTGCTCTAACCAGTTCAAAAGCCAGGCATTAAGTGAGCTACCAAAATCAACTCCCATTATCTATCTGTCTTTCTTATTTTAACAAACCCTTGTATTGAGGGCTGATTTTCAATAGATAGCAGCGAGGGAGCTGCTGTGCTACATAGGAAACCACCTATATTATCTTTCAAACCAAAGTGAGCCATGGGGCAGCCATGAGCTAGTGGAGAAAAACCCAGTTACAGGTATAGCACCTTTTGCTTTGACAGAATGGAAATTTGAGAAAAGGAGCTGTTGTAGCCTTTGAATCACTTTAAAGTGTTTGGTCGGTTTCTAATGCCTTTCTCTCCCCTAATCTTTACAGAGAGAAGATTATAAATGCCAGAGCCATTTAACTGATGGATAGCTGCTGAATGCTGACACTTCTTCAAATATTTCTTGCACCAACATCTTCACTGGGAGGAATTCAGGAAAAGTAGCAGAGAGAAGGAGAGATCACATTTACATGTACCATGGCTATACCAATAACAGTGCTTGACTGTGATCTCTTGTTGTATGGCCGAGGTCACCGGACATTGGACCGCTTTAAGCTGGATGATGTGACCGATGAATACTTGATGTCCATGTATGGGTTTCCTCGACAGTTTATTTATTACTTGGTGGAACTCTTAGGGGCGAATCTTTCTAGACCTACTCAGAGATCCAGAGCTATTAGCCCAGAGACACAAATCCTTGCAGCACTGGGCTTCTATACTTCAGGTTCCTTCCAGACTCGGATGGGAGACGCTATTGGAATCAGTCAGGCATCTATGAGTCGATGTGTTGCCAATGTGACTGAAGCGCTTGTGGAAAGAGCCACACAGTTCATTCGCTTTCCGGCTGATGAAGCCTCCATGCAGGCTCTGAAGGATGAATTCTATGGGTTGGCAGGGATGCCAGGGGTTATAGGGGTGGTTGACTGTATCCATGTGGCAATCAAGGCACCAAATGCTGAAGACCTCTCCTATGTGAACCGCAAAGGTCTCCATTCTTTAAACTGCCTGATGGTGTGTGACATCAGAGGGGCACTAATGACTGTGGAGACCAATTGGCCAGGTAGCCTACAGGACTATGCTGTGCTGCAGCAATCCCCCCTCACTAGTCAGTTTGAAGCCGGGATGCACAAAGATAGCTGGCTGCTTGGTAAGTCTGCGGGTGTAAATGTTTCATTTTGTAGCCATAGAAAAATTATGTAGTAGAGCAGAATGAAATTTGAAAGTCTATAGACCTGAGTCTTCATCTTACCTTTTTTTTTTTTTTTTTTAATGAGACCTGAGGGGCACCTGGGTGGCTCAGTTGGTTTAGTGTCTGACTCTTGATTTTGGCTTCAGTCATGATCCCAGGGTCATGGTGTCAAGCCCCGTGTCAGGCTCCACACTCAACGTGGAGGGATTCTCTCGTATTCTCTCGCTTTCTTCCTCTGCCCCTCTCCCCGGCTTGTGCTCTCTCTTGGAAAAAAAAAAAAAAAGAGAGAGAGAGAGACCTCAGATGAGAACTCTCTGAGCCTTAATTTTTTTTTAATATTTTTTATTTATTTCTAGGAGAGAGAGAGAGAGAGCGTGAGCAGGGAAGGGTCAGAAAGAGAGGGAGATACAGACTCTGAAATAGGCTCCAGGCTCTGAGCTGGCAGTCAGCACAGAGCCTGATGCGGGGCCCGAACCCACGAACCGCGAGATCATGACCTAAGCGAAAGTCGGACACTTAACCGACTAAGCCACCCAGGTGCCCCTGAGCCTTAATTTTTTTAAATCAACACTTAAAAAGACATTTATGAAGTGTCATTTTTAAAACGTATTTGACCCAGATCTTCACTTCTAAGGGTTTATCTTGAGGCATTTGTTTATAAATAAGAACAGTAGTTGGGGTCCCTGGGTGTCCCTGGGTGGGTCAGTCAGTTAAGTGGTTGACTTCAGCACAAGTCATGATCTCAAAGTTTGTGAATTTGAGTCTGGCATCTAGCTCTCTGCTGTCAGCGCAGAGCCTGCTTCAGATTCTCTGTTCCCCTCTCCTTCCGCTCCTCCCCTGCTCATTCTCTCTCTTTCTCTCTCAAAAATAAACACAAAGCATATTAAATAAGTAGATAAATATGAATAGTGGTGATGTAAAGTAAAATAACATTGCACCAATGTTTTGTAGTTGGAAACAAAAGCAATAACAACCCTACAAAAACATTCTCTTTAAGTACAGCCAAAATATTTAATCAGTACAGATCTGGTTAAATAGACTACAGATCAGTACACCCATGCAACTGAGCCTTAATTCTTTTTAGTTTTTTATTTTTTTTAATGTTTTATTTATTTCTGAGAGAGAGAGAGGGAGATACAGAATCCAAAACAGGCTCCAGGCTCTGAGCTAGCTGTCAGCACAGAGCCCGACATGGGGCTCGAACCCACGAACCGCGAGATCATGTCCTGAGCCGCCTGAGCCGAAGTCGGAAGTCGGACGCTTAACCGACTGAGCCACCCAGGCGCCCCGCCTTAATTCTTATCATGTGTAAAATGTTAAAAATAATGTCAACAGTGGTAATACCTCTTTTTCGGATTAGGTGATATGTATGAGAGTTCACTAAAAGTATTGTACAAATGTAAAATGTTTGTATGATACAAGACACCATGGTATCTGCATGAAAATGATAGCAGACCGTGCACTTACACAGTTCTTACAGTAGCTCACTTCACAGATCTGCCCAAGTGCCATTGGGAAGCCTGACTTAGTGATGTAAGTAGGACACGAACCCATTTAAAACGGAGCAGCGCACACTGAGGTGACTGCACAGCGGGGAGGAATACAATTGGATAATAGGGATAATACCCTTGAGCTTGGCAGCTTAGTTCTCTTTGTTTGTTTTAAAGCACTGCTCTCATGTGAGCAATAGGACAAAGGTTATCTTCTATACAATGTACTGTAGTACGTGAGAGACAAAAAGAAACGTGAAAGATTGGAAGACCTGTCTTTCAAAACCACTGATCATATCTGCACTGCATGTGCTTATAACAGTGTCCAACATGAAACAGGGACTCAGGAATTATTATTATTTTTTAATGTTTTATTTATTTCTGAGAGAGACAGAGAGAGAGACAGCATGAGCAGGGGAGGGTCAGAGAGAGGGGGAGATACAGAATCCGAAACAGGCTCCAGGCTCTGAGCTGGCTGTCAGCACAGAGCCCGAGGTGGGGCTCGAACCCACGAGCCGTGAGATCATGACCTGAGCCAAAGCCGGACGATTAACCAACTGAGCCACCCAGGCGCCCCTAGGAATTATTTCTCTTTAATACTCTTTTATGTCTCCCCTGTTCCAAGTGGGAAGGGACTGCTGTCACGCAAAATGGTTTAGAGCTGCCGGGGTGCCATGTGTAATGTCTTGGAGCTCACTGATTTTCTTGAGTTCTTGCTTCTACATACCATCTTCAGTTACCACCTTCTCTTTACCCCCACTGAACCTCTATCTTAATCCCACCTTTTTGAACTTTCAAAGTTCATTTCAAACAAGTTACACCAAGAAGTGAAGGAAAGTCTGTTTTGCAAGTATGTCATCTAGTTACTTCTGCAGCTGTGAAGTATGAAATCACTCTGGTACCTCTACTATAAAGCCAGCTAAAACATCTTGAGCACTTAGAATTTGTCAGGCAATGTTGTAAGCACTGTGCATTCGATTATCTCACTTAATCCTTATAAAAACTCTTAAGGAGTTAAATACTAATATTACCAACATTTTTGTGGATAAGGAAGTTAAGGCACAGGGTATCTAAGTCACTTATGGTTAACTTTTAAAACTAGGTCACGTGAAGAGAATTCACTCTAGTCAGCAAATACTCCCTTTGTTAAGGACCTCAAGGCCATGTAGGAATTACTTATTCCCTTTCCCTTCACACCTTAGAACCCCAGATTCAGTTGGAAATATGGCTTTAGTTTTTGAGGTATTTATGGGACATAGTTGGAAGTAAGAAAAAAAACTTTTTTTTTTTTTTTTAAGTAGGCTCTATGCCAGCAGGACTTGAACTCATGACCCAGAGATCAAGAGTCGCATGCCATCCAGAATGAGCCATCCAGGCATCCCAACTCTGACAAATTTTTATATACCTTTCTGATTCCCTTCTTTACAGGAAGAGTGAAAGTGGGAGAGATGGATATGGCAACAACATTGAACAAACGTTTATTAAGCCCATTTTGGTACCGGCTACATGCCAGCCACTAGGGATGGGAAAAATATACCCATGTGGAAATTGATTCCTTTAGTACTAGCAGTTCTAGTACATACTTCTTGCAAAGCTTCCATGAACTCTAACAAGAAAACTAGTCTGAAGAGCCCTGAACTAGTATAGTGTTTCACAAATTTTCCAAATCAAGAGTCATCTGGGGAATTCATTAAAAATATACATCACTGGGCCACATATCAAACTTCAGGAGGGAGAATCTTCAAAGAAAGACTCTAGATCTCCATTTTTAATAGATCCCTTAAGTGATTCATACAAATAGATACATTTGGAAAACACTGGTATCTAAAGGATGTGGGGATAATGGAATAATTTAGGGGAAGATTGGCAGGATTAGAAGAATGACAAGATGTTAAAAAAGAGAAGATGGCTGATCTTTTTAACTGGGTGGCTCAGTTAAGCATCTAACTCTTGGTTTTGGCTCAGGTTCATGATCATGGTTCATGAGTTTGAGCCCCACATTGGGTTCTGCACTGATAGCATGGAGCCTGTTTGGGATCCTCTCTCTTCTCTCTCTATGCCCCTCCCCTGTCATGCTCGCGCACACACGTTCTCTCCCTCTTTCTCTCTCTCTCTCTTTCAAATAAATGTATATATAAAATAAAGATGGCTGATTGTGTCTTAACATCATCAGATTTGTGGAATAGTTCTAAATTTGCCAAATGTAAAATTAACCAGATTCCTTTTGTTTGTTTGTTTGTTTTTGGTTTATGTTTTGTTTTTATTTTTTATTTAAGAAATTTTTTTAATGTTTATCATAATTTTTGAGAGAGAGCGAGAGAGACAGAGAGCAAGCAGGGGAGGGCAGAGAGAGAGAGGAAGACACAGAATTGGAAGCAGGCTCCAGGCTCTCAGCTGTCAGCACAGAGACCTATGCAGGGCTTGAACTCACAGACCACCAGATCATGACCTGAGCTGAAGTCATCTGCTTAACTGACTGTGCCACCCAGGCGCCCCTGTTTTGTTCTTAGTATGAAATCATTTTTATAAAAATTTAAAACCAAGAAGAACAATATTATATTGCTTAGATGCAATATAAGCAAGTGTGGAGAAATGACAAAATTCAGAATAGTGTTTCCATCAAAGGGTATGTGGGAGCCACTATGTGTTGTTGTTGGGTTTTTTTCTTCAGCATACTCTCACCATGGGTGCCATCGCTTCATGTCATTCTCATCTGTCCCTTCCAAACTGCATTACCTAATTCCTCTTTACATGTACCTGCTCCTTCAAATGATTCAGCCAGAGTTCTTATTTTTTTAGCTCTTGGCCTAGTCTTGTTAAGCAGCTTTGGGTAAGATCTGCCAGAATGTCTTGTGGATGACTGATCATGTAAGCAATTGTAATCTGTTTAGCAATTCTGATCCTAATCCCCTCCTGAGTGTCTGCTTTCCAGTGGTGCTTGGATTATAACCAGTTAATGACAGTGGGACATTTTATGAAAGGTCTGCATTAACTAGCTTGTTTTTTATGTCTCCACATTTAATGCTCATACTGTTTCTTAAAGAAACGTTTAACAAATACCATTTAGTATCTCTGTGTTTTGGCATTCATCTTAAATGTTTATCTTACTCTCTTTTACAGCATTACACCATTGTTTTCCTGACTCTGAGTCTGACATTAGTTTTTAGTGACTAGCTCCTTCTCTTTCCTTTGCCTGCCATATCAGAGGATGGCTGACATATATTTTGATCTTCTCATTTAGAGAATGAGTTCAGTAGTATCTTAACCTGGCAGAGTTGGTATTGGATAAGACATAATACTTTTACAGTGCCCAGCTCAGTGCTTCTTACATATCAGTGAGTCACTGATAACTATTTTCATTATTATTTATAGCATCAGTTTCTTAAATTCAGTATTTAGTAGGTGTGAGCTCAACTAAGATAGTTTATACTTAAGTCAACTCAATGTAAAATTTGAAAATATGAGGCTTCTTACATATTTAAAGCTAATCAAGTACACCTACAAATAATACAATGTTTTGTGTCAATTATGTGTAAGTAAAAACATTAAAAAAAAAATGTGGTGGTGGTGGGGTGCCTGTCTGGCTCAGTTGGTAGAGTGTGCAACTCTTGATCTTGGGGTTGTGGGTTCAAGCCTCATGAGGTGTAGAGATTACTTAAAAATAAAATCTTTAAAAAATAATAATAAAAATAAAATTTTTTTTAAAGTTTATTCATTTTGAGAGAGAGAGAGAGAGCTCAAGCAGGGGAGGGGCGGAGAGAGAGGGAGAGAGAGAGAATCCCAATCCGCACTGAGAGTGCAGAGCCTGGTGAGGACCTCCATCTCATCAATCATGAGGTCATGACCTGAGCCGAAATCAAGAGTCGTATGCTTAACCAACTGAGCCACCCAGATGCCCCTAAAATTTTTTTTTCTAATAAAGTTAATACAGTTCTTAAAAAGGTAAGCTCCTGAGAGAAAGGAGTTGTGTATGCTTTGGAACAGTGCCCTGACTCTCTAAACAGTCCGTAACTACACACTAAAATTGATAATGGGTCAGGAACACAGCTATTGTGCAAGTTGGTACTCCCAAGTTGTCTCAGATTTCTAAGGGGTTGTGCCTCTGTGTGAGACATTTCATTCTGCTGGCAGTAGTGAGTCAGGACAATTAAGCATTATAGAAACTCTGTACTGTTGTAACAGGACATTGCATCCCAGTCTTGTGATGTATTCTGTTCTGAGCATTGCCTGAGAACATTTGATAGGGAAGTTACCTTAGGAAAATGCCTTGCCTATATTGTTTTAATTGACTTCTGATCTGATTTTCTTATCACTGTTACTATTTGTAATAGTGTATTTATTGTGTGTTTATAGTGTATTCACATTGTATTTATGTGAAATTCTACCAGTTTCTGTTACAAAGCATGGTTCTAGTGAATGTAATATCTAGGAACACCTGAGTTCTGATCTCTGCCACAGTTGCTGGGACTTTGATCTTACTGTTCTTAGCACTGGGAGAATGAATGATTATTGTCCATGAGATGTTCACTCTGAAATTCCTAGGTAGTGCTTTCAGACCTGACATTTTAATGGTAAGGTTAGAAATTGTCCTCACAAGTGTTTTTGAGCTTTCTTGGAAGAAATCTCTCTTTCTCTCTTGTGCTTTTTTCTCTTTGGAGATTTTTTTTTTTTTAATATTTTTATTTATTTCTAGGAGAGAGAGAGAGACAGCGTGAACAGGGGAGGGTCAGAGAGAGAGGGAGAAACAGACTCCGAAATAGGCTCCAGGCTCTGAGCTGGCAGTCAGCACAGAGCCCGATGTGGGGCTTGAACCCACGAACCGCGAGATCATGACCCAAGCGAAAGTCAGACGCTCAACCGACTAAGCCACCCAGGCGCCCCAGTCTCTTTGGAGATTTTTAAGATTCGCTTGCTATATGACAGTTTTTCCTAACCTTTAAAAAAATTTTTTAATGTTTGTTCATATTTAAGAGAGACAGAAACAGAGAGTGAGCAGGGGAAGGGTAGAGAGAGAGGGAGACACAGAATCTGAAGCAGGCTCCAGGTTCTGAGCTGTCAGCACAGAGCCTGATGTGGGGCTCAAACTCACTAACCGCGAAATCACAACCTGAGCTGAAGTTGGACCTTTAACCAACTGAACCACCCAGACATCCCCTAACCTTTTATTTTTTTTTTTAATTTTTAAATGTTTTATTTATTTCTGAAAGAGAGAGAGCGAGAGAGCGAGCGAGCATGAGCAGGGGAGGGTCAGAGAGAGAGGGAGACACAGAATCCCAAGCAGTCTCCAGGCCCTGAGCTGGCTGTCAACACAGAGCCCGATGCGGGGCTCAAACCCATGAACCGTGAGATCATGACCTGAGCCAAAGTTGGATGCTTAACCGACTGAGCCACCCAGGTGCCCCATCCCCCTAACCTTTTATTAAAGAACAATATTTCTGAGTTTAGAAGATCCAGGAATTTTATTTCCTTCAATGCTTTCACCTCCTTCCCGTATGTTTTCAGATTTGGCTGGTTTTTGTTTGTTTGTGCATTTTTAAAGCTGTCAGCCTTTTACTCTGTTGGTTTAAAGCAAGGATATTTCCAGCCAAAACCCACGTCTTACTGCTCGTGGTCCTAGCATGCCTTCTTTTTACCACATTTCCCTCTTGGTTTTTCTCGGGCACAGTGGCTCCAGAGTCTGTTGCGTCCATTCTCTGTATATGTTCCTGGATTTTTCTTTCTGTTTGTATTCCAATTAGAATGATTTATTATTTCTTTGGACCTTCCCCACAGGTGACAATTCCTTCTTTCTCCGTACTTGGCTCATGACCCCCCTTCACATCCCTGAAACTCCAGCCGAATATCGCTATAATATGGCCCATTCTGCAACTCACAGTGTGATTGAGAAGACCTTCCGAACCCTCTGCTCCCGATTCCGCTGCCTGGATGGATCCAAGGGGGCACTGCAGTACTCACCAGAGAAGTCCAGCCACATTATCTTGGCTTGCTGTGTCCTCCACAACATCTCCCTGGAGCATGGGATGGATGTTTGGTCCTCTCCAGTGACAGGACCCATAGAACAGCCCCCTGAGGAAGAGTATGAGCACATGGAGTCCCTGGACCTAGAGGCTGACCGAATGCGTCAAGAACTGATGCTCACTCATTTTAGCTAATGTGAAAGCTATGGGGGTAGGGGAAGGAAACTTTCCAGAGGAGCTGGGACAAACTTTCCCCCTCACCACCCCATACAGAGTCCCATCATCTAGCATGACTGAGTATGTGGAGACTTGTCACAAATTAACATTTAATCTGTATGTTTTGTAAGGGTTATGGCTATGCCAAAGTATCTTGATAATGTTTCCAAATATATTAGCTGAACCCAAACCAAGACAATAGTTCCCTGCTATCCACTGAATTCCAGGGTGAGCACCACTCATTCGAAAACTCACTAGTAGTTGACATTTATGATTGTGCCTATAAAATCAAAGGGGAAAACGGCACTCAGCCAGATGTTTTATGTTTGTTTTTTAAATTATGTGGAGATTTCAAATGAAAGCAATATGTGTTTGTCCTGAATTATTAGATGGAATTATTAGATGGAACCTTCTCCTTTGCTGCCTGCATAGACATAGTCTAAGGCAAGCATAAAGAGTAAATGTAAGTTAGGGGAATGGTCTTCTGACGTAAGTGAGTGGCTATTAATATGAGTTTGCAGCTTGTGTTTTTAAGAGGATGTTGGGGAGAGTCCAAGACCTCCATCTTTAGTCTTTCTGCAGTAGTTAGAATGTGACTTGGACTTGGTTTCTAGGGAGAACATCTGGATTCCAATCTCCTCTTTCCAACCCAGAGTAGGAGCTAGAGGCTAAATAGGTTTAAGAACCCAACAGCTTAAAGAAGACAAGTCAAATATAGATAAAATAGCAAGTTTACACTTTACAGATCTAAAGACCCTGAAAGACTGATGGACAGAGGAGATTCACCTTCACCCAGGTTTTGACAACTCACACCTAAATAGATCACTTTTCTTACACTCATGATGTTAGAATGTCGGTTTGGCCATTCTGCTTTGAAATTCCTTGTATAGAAGGAAGACTTGAGGATTAAAAGGCATATGGAAGTAGAAAAAAAGGGAAGTAAAATGAACATAGTTTCTTGGGGTGAAATGATTTTGGCATTAGACCTATTTGGATAGCTTGCAAAATCGTGGACAGAATTTCCTAGGAAATAAATATTCCCCCACCAAGTCTTATTCTAAAATTATACTCCTATAAAAACAACCTGATTGGAATAATGAAAGTGTGAATTACGTTCACACATTGGTGCCTCTGCTGGGACAAAAAAGAGACTTTCCTGCGGATTGTCTCGTTCCCAGTTTCTCATCAACTCACCATGTGATACCTCAGAAATGTCCTCTTGGATCATTTCCTACCTATCTTTCGCAGCGTTAATCTGGTGATTTTCAAAGTAAAGAAATGAACAGCAGCTGACAGAAGAAATTTGGAAATAAATTGAGGGTGACTCATCCCCAAGATTAAAAACAATTATGGATTGTTATCTGCTGTTTATTTCTACTCCAAATGCTATTTCCCATCATCGTTCTACTCTATGAAGAGTGGGTCCATGTGGCAGGAGGTTGAGCTTGATGTGTACAATGATGTCACTGAGACCAGAAGGGACCGCAAAGAGGTGCCTGGGAATATTAGTTCTACTGATTGTGCAGTCGAGGTGTCCTGTTACATATTGTTCCTTTGTAAAATCTAACCTGTGACCAGGCCGTCTTTGTCCTCCTCATGAGGCAATATTTTAACTATCACGGTCTTTACAAGTGTCCTGAGATGGGTATTTTTCCCTACAGAGTTTTGGTTCTGTTGTGCATATTGCCTGAGGAAAGGGTTACTGCCATCCGCATATCATAAGTAGCAAAGTGCAATGTGAACTTAGAAAGTATCTGGCATTTTAGCCTGAAAAAAAAAAAACAAAAAACCTACATTAAAGGAAAATTGGGGTTTTTCACCACTTAACTCACTAGATGGTAACATGAAGCCTGAGTGGGAGGAACAGTCTTGGAGAGATTTCAAAAGCAATTTTAAGTCTATTACTTGCAAACCAAAGATAATTTCTAAGTGCTGAACCGACTGAATATTGGCTGGCAGTGCTTTTCCCTGGGAGCATTTTGTTTCCTAATAATGCCACAGAGTAACTGTTCGAATCTATTTCTTTAATCTTTCACCTGAAGTTTTACAGGCCAAGATTTTTTTCAGTCTTTAGTTACAATTTCCCTAAAATGATCTAGGGGTGGGATCAGGATCTGTACTTCAATCGCCAAGGGTTTGCTCATAGGGACTTATCATGAGTGCCTGAGAAGTCTTCTCTTGAGGTCCTTATTGCGGGTTTTTTTTTTTTTTTTTTTTTTTTGTTTTTAGTATCTTCCTGATACAGTTTTGGGAAAGAGTCAAGGATTATGCTTGTCTTATGTAAGCTTCATCTTCCCGTAGATCATGCCATCTGGTCAGCATAGGAGTTTTCCAGATTTGCCCTTAAATGTTTCAAGACAGCAAAGTCCCAGGATATATTAAGAGAAAACCACAGTATTGGGTCAACACTGGTTTGCCAATTTCAAGTTCTACAAAAGAGAGACCACAAACATATTGTTAGTTTAAAATGAACTGAACAAAGATGGGTCTCCTTTCCTGACCCTTGGACTGTAAAGGATATCTAACAAGTTAATTTAAGACTAATGGGGTCATATAGTGAAGAGGCAGGAGGGGTAAAATAGAAGCTAGACAGATAACAGACATACTGTGATTGTATCCCGACCTGAGATGATAAAACAACTCTTGGACTGAGCTTAACAGTCACTGTCCCTGGCAATGGAGGGCAAGTTAGGAGGAGGACAAAAAAATAAGAAATCAAGACTACCTAATCATTGTGCATGCACATACGTGTCCTCAGGGCCATATTGCTCTGTAGATCCCACCCGGATTTTACTAAATTGTGAGAATAAGGGATAACAGAATTATGTAAGAGTTGGTTGATCATAAGAATGGCAATGCAGGAAGGAAGGGAAAATACTAGCTGAATGCTGGGAACACTCCAGTTCCCTAACATAAAAATTCACAGTTTTTGTTGTTGTCATTGTTTTAATTTTTTTTTAATGTTTTATTTATTCCTAGGAGAGAGAGAGAGGGAGACAGCGTGAGCAGGGGAGGGTCAGAGAGAGAGGGAGACACAGAATCTGAAGCAGGCTCCAGGCTCTGAGCTGGCAGTCAGCACAGAGCCCGACGCGGGGCTCAAACCCACGAACCACGAGATCGTGACCTAAGCGAAAGTCGGACGCTTAACTGACTAAGCCACCCAGGCGCCCCATGTTGTTGTTGTTGTTTTAATGACTACACTCTAAACCCCATTTGTGATATAATCGAATAGGACTGATGAGATCTCTGGATACTAAAAAGGAGCAAGGAAAATAGACCTTGAAATCAGAAGTTAGTACATTTCACAAGAAAAAACGTCCAGGGCTCCTGGGTGCCTCAGTTGGTTAAGCGTCTGACTCTTGATTTTGGCTCGGGTCATGATCTCACTGTTTGTGGATCGAACCCCACATTGGACTCCACACTAACAGCACAGAGCCTGGAGCCTGCTTGCGATTCTCTCTCTCCCTGTCTCTCTGCCCCTCCCCAATTCGCGCAATTGCACTCTCTTTCTCTCTCTAAATAATAATAAACATAAAAATTTTTTTTTAAAAGAAAAACAGTCCATTTGAAAGGAATCTCCACATGTGCCCAACAAAACATTAAGGATCTATCATTCTGTTGAGACTTTAACCCCTGCATATATAGCTGTCTTTATGAAAGGGCTGATTTGTCATTCTAGAGTCTTAACATGCTCATATGCTTCAATCCATTGACAAATTGTGCCACTGAAAGTCTATCCTGTAAAAATAAGTCTGAAGAAGGAACCACCTGCTGTAATTCTACTTTGAATGATTTACCTGCTGTTCTGGGATCTCTCCCCTTCACTGGGCTGCTCTTATATCATTATGCTGCTTCTATCTTTACCATCCAACCCAAAGTGTATACATTACCCCAGAGTGCCTGGCGACTGGGCTACATAAGAACAGAACAGAATTGCAACTACAACTGGCTTATCATTTTGGCTGCTCAAGGCCCAATTCCTCTTCCTGGAATTCCTAATAAGATGACTCATGGTACTGCTACAGGGTTCTTTCATCCTAGGTTCAGGCCTGATTTCCATCATGCAGAGTGTAGTAGATGTTTCTTAAAGCCCAGAGCCCAATACAAGGAACAGTCTCCTCTCCTCTCCTTTTCCCTCTCTTCACCCTTCATCCCAGGCAAATCCCCCATGTCTACAGGTCCCAATCCTCTTTTCCCGGCTTAGTCTTTACAAGTTCCTTACATGTGATTGACAGTAGCTACATCCATTATTAGGGTGACCAACTGTCCCAGTTTGCCCAGAGCCAATACAGTGTTAGCACTGAAAGTTCCTTGTCCTGGGAAACCCCTTAGTCCTCAGCTCATTGGGACATATGGTCACCCTACTTCAGGAGAAGCATCATCTTGCCTTCAAGGGGGTGGCTCCCCAAGGAGAATCCAATCAGAATACAATAATCAATAGTCAACATAATAATGAATTATTAAGTCTTAACACTGATATGTAACTATCAGTGTTATATCACAGTATGATTTTTACTCTGCCCACCTGGTTTCTTTTAAGTCTCCCTCCAGTGTGAGGAGATTCCTACAGGTTTGAAGATTTCAACTGCTGGTCTCTTGTGATCTACTCTTCTGTCCAAATTGACTTTTCCATAAGAGCAAGCAGTAGTTTGCAGTCACACTGAAGCCTAAATCCATACTTGAAAAAAAACATTCTCTAGAGAAATTTATCTACAAGATGCAACTCTGCCTGCAGAATAAGTCTTCTTTTCCATGGTTTCATAGAGCAGTTTAGCCTCAGCTTATAAAATATCTCCATTTTCAGGTGGTGATTTTAGATTTATATTTGCATAACCTTCAGGTGTTTTTCCCAAAATAAAAGTCTCCCATTTTTGAAAGACTGAAAACTTCTTGTAGCCTGGAAATTAGTTTCTTTAGTTTTTCTCACTGAAATCAAGGTTTCAAAATAATGTTGTTATTTGGGTCAAGTTTGAATGAGGGTTGTAGCTATAGATTTAGATGCTTATGCCCCACAAGCCTTTCCAAGAAGGAAGCTTCTCTAAAACGTGTATTCTGGGAATAGAATCTCAGCCCTGGATTACAGCAAAGGAAAGTCTATTTGCTGCTCCTCATCTGGCTTCAGGAATATGGCAAGACTGCTCATTTAGTTGGCATTTACTATCCTTTTGCCCCTGACTCTGAGAACTGCCAGGGATAAAGACTAATTCCCAATTAGGTGTGGCTATGTGACTAAATTCTGGCCAGTGGAATATAAGTGGAAATGTCCCGTGCTATTTTCAAGATATGTCCTTATGGCAGGAGACATGCCTTTCCTCTTTCAGCTTCCTGCTGGTTGGAATGTAGACATGATGGCTAGAATTTGAACAGCTGCCTTGGACATGGGATAAAAGCCACTTATTGAAGATGTCAAAGAAACAAGAAGGAAGCCTAGTCCCTGACACTAAATGGCCACACCTTATCCTAGGCTGTGCATCTCTGGATTTCTTTCATATGATGGAGAGATACACCCTTCCCTTGCTTCCTCATGCTTTTTGTTTATGTGCGATGGGTCCTAATTGTAACTAAAAAGGTTACAATTGCCTCTTTCCAAAAGCAGCAATACCTATTACACAGAACATGTTTGGAGGCAATATAGCTATCCAACAATGGGGAGCAAGGTCAGTATATCCTCTCAATAGAATATTGTGCAATTGTTAAAAATAACAACTATTAAAGATTTAATAGGGAAATGATATAATGTGAAACAATAACACTGTTGTATCTCTGCTTAAACTTTAAAACATTATGCCAGGATATTTCTTCAGACTGCATGGGAACATGAACAAATTAAAACTTTGTGGGTTTTTTTTAAAAAGTTTATTTATTTTGAGAGAGAGAGTGGGGAGGAGGGACAGAAAGAGAGGGAGAGAGAGATAGAATCCCATACAGGCTCCATATTATCAGCATAGAGCCTGATGTGGCGCTTGAACCCACAAACGAAGAGATCATGACCTGAGCTGAAATCGAGTCAGATACTCAACTGACTGAGTCACCTGGGTGTCCCAAAACTTTGTATTTTGGAAGTAGATTATTAAATTCTTTCTTTTTTTTAGACTTTCATGAATGTTGCTATAATGTTTACTCGTTTTTAAGTCCCCTAAAACAGTAGTAGACAACAAAAGCCCAGTGTTTTGTCCTCCTATTATGGAAACTGATGTTATCCTGCATTATATATATGAGTTGTCCCTTAAATATTGTCATGGACTTAAAAAATTTTTTTAAATCATAATAAATTATAAATAAAGCTAGTGTTGTAAGGATGTGGCCTTTCACTTTGATTATAAGCTCTTTAAGGGCTTGGACTATGTTATTTCTTTTTTATGCCTTTACTCTCCAAGTCTTCTCCCCCCACCTAGGAGGGGACTTAGGGTAGACTATTATTGCTTGCACTTGGTAATCCATATTAGGAGTGATCTATGTGATTTATTGAATTGTATCTAGGATGTACATATTAAGAATCCACGTTTGTCCTGAGAATGTTAGTATGTCTACCACAAGACTTCAGAAAGGGACTATGGCCGTGATGATAAAAATTTCAGCTTTTGTCAGGTTCTGAACCCAAGGAAAATTTGGATCATCGTGTTCGAAGCACGCCAGTGGTTCCAGGCCTTTGGGAGAAAATTTAAAAAGCATACAAGTATTTTTTTTTTTTCCTGCCTTAAGCTCAGCCTACAAAATCCTGAATTTTTCCAGCTTCTCTTTGCTATGTTTTATGGGAGCTAAAGTGGAACTTTAAGAGCGATGACTCACTTTGTTTCTCAGTCTGGATTCTCTCATTGTCTCTCTCTGCCTCTCATATACACGTATATTTATTTTTACGTACCTCACTGTGCCTGAGGAAACTAAGAGTCACACTTGCTCACTTGGGATCATGTTGGGAGTCCATAACGTAGTCGCTGAACTGATAGGTGTTATTGTGCTATAACTTGATCCTCAATACTCAAGAAAATCTCCGGTGCTCTAAACAACTTAGCTAGCAACCAATACAGAAAATGGCAGAAACACCGGCTACTTTACTCCGCCGCTTATGATCTGGGTTTGTTTATTCATGCCTTAGACCGGAGACGGACCTAGGGTAGACGCCGACCAGCTTTTCGGCGCTCGACTGCATTTCCTTGAACGATTGTTCGGGTGCTCTTCCTATGATGTCTGGGCCGTTCGTGTATTCGGTGATCTTTTGCGCCGTCTTCTTGCTTGATGTCTCCTGAGCGGCGGCGGCGCCGGGTCGAAGGCTGACTTATCCGCGAGGCCCCGCGCTCAGGCTGCTTTCTTCTGTCGGTCGGTAGAGCGGACCCCTTGCTTCTTACCCGTCTCTTCTTCTTGTCGGTGGTTGAGTCCCGTCGCTGGGCTGCAGACGGAGCCCCCGCCCGCCTTGCAGGTAGGCCCAGGAGGAGCCTGGGAGGCCCGGCCCGGCATCCTTCCGCTGGCGGGTTGAGAAGACCTTGGCGCCGGCGGGTAGGCGGGCGGGTTGGCCGCAGAGACACGGCCGGAGGAGGAGCTACCCGGCTGCGTTCGGGGGCGCGGTCCGAGAGGCGGCAGGGGACTGAGGGAGAGGCCGGAAGGAGGGAGAGATGCTGGGGCTGCTTTACGCGCTTCGGTGGGGAGGGGATGTTGGGTCTAGGGCGGGTGTTGGCACCCCGAGTGTAGGGGGAAAATCGCCTTCTAGGAACGGATAGAGCTTTGCTCGCTTGACCCCCCCTCGGTCTCTCCTCCCGCCTCCCCACTCCCAAGGCCCCGGGTGTCATGACTCAGTTGCGCTGGGGACCTCCTCGGAGTCCGGCCTTTGAAGGGACCCTTGAGTAGGTGGAAACAAGTGGGACATGGCCCTCTGGCTACTCTGAACGAAGTGTCATGTTCTTGCTTTTTGGGGATAGGGAAACTGAGTCTGAGTTCCGGGGCTTGACTCTTCCCCATGTCCCAAACAGATCTTTAAACGCTCCGTTAGTCGTTTTTTGGTCATTATTTACAGGTTTGCTTTTTTTTTTTTTTCCTTTTCTCTGTTTACTGGTCACTTTCTGTACACAGCGATTTGTCGTTTGTGATCCCTCCTACCTAGGAATACAGATTCTGTCACTGGTGACTTCAAATGTGTAGGGACCATGCTGGGTTTGTTTGTCAACGTCTGTATCAAGTTAGTGAGAAAAGCAATGACAGTTCTGTTTATTGGATAGAAAATTTTGTTCGCTAACCAGTTTGCTTTCTGGTTGATACTTATTTCTCCTCCCCCTCAGCTTGTTCTCAACGGAAATCTTCCAACAGTGATGTTAAGTGGTTAATATCCAAGGATGGAGGATTGGTCAAGATTTTGAAATCAGATATTTGTCCCGAAGAGTTTGCTTTCTAGGAAGAATTCAAAGGAAACCCAAGGAGTCGTTTTCAGAACAATTTTATTATATTTGATTAGTGGTTTAGTTATGCATATACTGGAGTTAAACAGGCAGTGTGTAGGATTCATTCAAATATTGAGATGTTTAAGTTTAAAGTTAAAATTCTGGCATCTCTATTATGTTTTCCTTTTCTCTCTTAACTTGGAAACTTTGGGGACTAAGTGTTCTTACTCATTTTATTTTCGTTGGATTCAGTGTCACGATCCTAATTTGTGTAGCTTCTTTGTTGGAAAAAAATTCAGGCTAGAGGTCATTCTAGGTTGAATAAGTATTTCCATAGTATGTAAAATCAGTAGGACAGTGGTTTTAAGAGAGAACAGATTAAATTCCTAGTCCTCAGGTGGAAACTATACAAGTCTGTGTTCTTTTTTTAAAAATATATAATGATTTTATAATTCTGATATGAGTTGTGGAAAGATTGTTCCTCTAATGTGTTTGATTTTGAGGTCAGCAATATCTAAATGTAGGGTCGTTGGTCATGAGTGATTTCCTAGTTATCAAGGACCTCAGTCCAGAAGGGGATTAATGAAGAGCCACTAGACTGTGGAGAATGTAGATTGGGAAGTTAGCCTGAGAATGTGTGCTCTCTGAAAAAGTTTTTATGGTAGAAGAGAATGTGTATCAGAGGAGAGCATTTAGGAAGGAAGTGACATTATCTCCTGTGAATTGATTCTGCATAGAATTTATAGTTAGTGTAGTATCTCAGTGGCTCCTAATGAATGCTAAATAAATAGAGTTTGCTGTGAGTGTCACAAAAGATGTTAGCAACATTTTGTTATATTTCTGTAGGAAATAATTAGCAGACATTTAAATTGAATTGAGGGAGGTAAGAATTTGATTGTGGTGATGGTGGTGGAGTTATAGGAATAGAGCTTCTTTTTGGCTTCTACCCTGCTTTGTGATAGAAATTCACTCCAAAATTTACCTTACTCGGTTAAATCTTGTGCTGTTCTGTCAGTGTCAGATCAGGCTCTCTTCTGGCCTTTCCTTTCAGAAATTTATGGGTTCAGAATGTGACTTAATTGTTCTATCTTCTTGTTTCATGAGAAAGTTCTTGAGGATTATTAAAAGATGTGAACTTCTTTGAATATCTTCGACAACTTGCCCTGGAAGGAGTTATATACAATCTTGGAAAAGATTAATTATATGTATCGTTTGAAAACTATTGATTAGTTTTATTAACTATAATAACTTAGTGGGGGTTTTTTTGTTTGTTTTGTTTTTATTCCTGAGAGAGAGACAGTGTGAACAGGGGAGGTTCAGAGAGAGAGGAAGATTCAGAATATGAAGCAGCCTCCAGGCTCTGAGCTAGCTGTCAGCACAGAGCCTGACGCAGGGCTTGAACCCATGAACTGTGAGATCATGACCTGAGCTAAAGTCGGGAGCTTAACCGACTGAGCCACCCAGGCACCCCATAACTTAGTTTTATATTGTATAATTTTCAGTACATGTTAGGAAACTTATGAAACTTTTGTTTATTTTTATTTTTTGTAAGTAAGCTCCACATCCAGTGTGGGGCTTGAACTCAGAATCCTGAGATCAAGAATCGTGTGTGCTCTTCAGGCTGAGCCAGCCAAGTGCGCCAAAACTTTTATTCTTTTGATCATGTTCCTTTCTGTTTCTTATTAATCCTGAAAGAATATATTTATGATGTTCAAGGGTCTTCATGAATGTTGATAATTTATGTTGACAACTTGTTTCACTATCCCCATTTATCCTGCTCTGAAAGCAGTTAGAGAAAAAGTTCTGTTGTTAGCACACTGAGGTCTCTCTCTCTTTTTTTTTTATTTTTTTTATTTTTATTTAAAAAAAATTTTTTTTTAATGTTTTTTATTTATTTCTAGGAGAGAGAGAGACAGCGTGAGCAGGGGAGGGTCAGAGAGAGAGGGAGTCACAGACTGAAACAGGCTCCAGGCTCTGAGCTGGCTGTCAGCACAGAGCCCGACGCGGGGCTCGAACCCACGAACCACGAGATCATGACCTGAGCGAAAGTCGGACGCTCAACCGACTAAGCCACCCGGGTGCCCCTCTCTTTTTTTTTTTAAAGATACGTCTCGTGGGTTCGAGCCCCACGTCGGGCTCTGTGCTGACAGCTAGCTCAGAGCCTGTAGCCTGTCTTCGGATTCTGTATCTCCCTCTCTCTGACCCTCCCCTGCTCACGCTGTATCTATCTCTCTCTCAAAAATAAACATTAAAAAAAAATTTTTTTTTTAAAATAAAGATACGTCTCAGCCTTGATAGAGTTATTTTGGAATGGGATGCAGATCTTTTTGCCCAGTGGTTTGATTTACCAAAAAACCCCCAAACCAACCAACAAAACAAAACAAAACAACCCCCCCACCGAGCCCCCAGAACTCCTTAAGTTTCTTTAATCATAGTTATTCTTGTTCCCTTCTCCAGTTGTTCCTCATAAACCCAGAGAGAACTTTCTGTTTCTTGTCATAATTTCTGTTTGTACAGAAGTACTATGGAACACCCTGATCTGCCTGTGGCTTGGAGGTAATTTATATTTTTAAGCCCCTTCTCCTCCCACCCCCAAGTTAATTAGATCTATCTTTCCCCGTTTTTGCAAAGCTAATATTAGTTGCTGATAGGGAAAAATTTTGTGGTCATTTATTGTCAGAATGTATTTATGTGCCCAGTAGTATGTGGAACTCTGCCAACATGATGTAGTAAGAAGAAAACAGATTAAGGAATCAGGAGACCTGGGTTTAAGTCCTAGGCTTATGCACTTCATAGCTGAGAAATCCTCTACAAATTATTTAAGGAGACTGTAGGGAAGGTTACTGGGCATTTACTATGTCATGTTCTTTACATGTGTTATCTCATTTAATACTTCTTTAAGTATAACAGTCCTGTAAGGTAGATATTATTTTCCCAGTGGATATTGAACTCGGAGTACATAATTTGACCAAGATCACACAGCAACTATGTAGCAGAGTTGGGATTTACGTCCAAGGCTTTGAATACTTTTAGGAACTTGTATTTAGAGAATGGGAAAGATAATGCTTTTATCGTAATACTTGTTTTGAGAAAAAAGTACGTGAAACTGCTTCAAAAAGATAAAGAGCTCTTCAGATATTAACCGTTATACCGTCGTACAGCAACAGTGAGCAGATGTCATCTAAGTTCTTGAACTACTTGTTTCTTTCAAGGGAGCATTATGCCTGACAGTCATGGAAGATAGAGGTGATAAACATTAAATCAGCATTGGAGGAACTTACTAATAATGTGTGTGGGAAGGAGTGAGTGCCTGGAAGTACCAGTGAAAGACAAGTGTTAAGTGCTCTATGTGTAGATGGGGTGAGACTGAGAATATTTACTCCCTCTTTTCCAGTTAGTCCTGCCTGTGTGTCTGTAGATTAATCTTTTACGTCTTGTTCTCTGCATTTTCTTAGGGTTGATAATCTCCACTTCTCCACCTAAACTTTTTCCTTTCTTCATTGAGTATTGTTCTTGTGCTGTGTTGTTTCCTAAGGTACAGTGTATTCCTATCAGACCTTTTGGAACTATTTCTTTTTTTCAAAGTTTATTTTTATTTATGTTGAGAGTGATAGAGAGCAAGGAGGGGAGGGGCAGAAAGAGAGGGAAACAGAATCCCAAGCAGGTTTCATGCCCTCAGTGCAGAGCCTGATGTGGGACTCGACCTCACAAACCATGAGATCATGACCTGAGCCGAGATCAAGAGTTGGATGCTTAACCGACTGAGCCACCC